CGGTCTCAATTGCTAGTTTCTGTTTTTCTTCAGTAGATTATGATATACATGTATTTATCGGTCTTATTTGGAGTAAAATACACAATAAATCTGCGTATACTGTAAGTTAGGGCTTTTCTACCTTATGATGGACTTATCGCTTTAGAAGTGTTTTGCGGTCTTTGTGTTTTTCTGATTACACCGTTGAAACGCAGCAGAAAAAAAGCGTATACGTGGCAGAGATACATACGTGATTTAAATATACAAATATTCTATATGCAAGTTAAGGCAGACATTTGTACTACGTCTCGTTCTTAGTGAGTGTGCACCTTACAACCCCTGCTCACAATGCATTACACACTCATCTGTTTGTGTGTGTGACTTTTTTTCATTTTGTACATGTGTGCGTGTCATCAGACCAGACAGTGCATGATGCTATCAGCAGCAGAGGATATGAAGACTACTATTTATAACTCTCCTCTATCTCAACTTAGACACATTGTCCTGCCCCGCGGGGAAGGGGGCTTTTTTTTTTTGTATGTGTGCGTCACTGTGCTGTTGTGTGTGTCTGTTTGTGTGTATGCAACAGAGTGGGACATTTGAGAGCGGAAGACTGTGAATGTGATAGACGGAGCAAGAGGCGGGGAGCTGTGAATGACAGACTGTGTGTGTGTGTGTGTGTGTGTGTGTGTGTGTGTGTGTGTGTGTGTGTGTGTGTGTGTGTGTGTGTGTGTGTGTGTGTGTGTGTGTGTGTGTGTGTGTGTGGGCAATGCTCACTGAAGGTGTGAGTGGAAAGAAGAGACATGTCACACTTGACAGGGGTGAAATGAGAGGATATGATTGGCTGTTTTCTGATGTCACGGATTTCGAGCCGTTCCAATTAGAAACAATCATACGCTGCTTAGTCGCCATTCTCTTTTCCACTGCTCTGCCATTCACTCGTTTCCCTTCATCAAAATTCCCCCTCTTTGTTTCAAATGTTGTTTTTCTTTTATGGAACTCGCCTGCCACCTATAAGCACTTTTTGGTGCTAACTCTTCTTCACGGCCTTCCTTTTCGCTCAGCGTTTTTTTTGGTTTTACCATATCCGTCCTCCTTTTGTTTTAAATGTCCTCCCGTGATCTCCCTCTCTCACCACTCAACTGCTTTCAAAAAACCTTGAAGATGAAACCAATGTAATAGGCAATACCAAAAGTCCTATATTATAAAAGATAAAGCATTACGGACAGTGCCAATGGTATGACATCGTCTACACTTCCTGTCTCCAAAGTGGGGGGTGTCACATGTCATTCTCAAACTTTAAGGCACAATTTTACACTCAATTTCAAGTGATGCTTATACATTGCAGATAAGAAATGAGAACAACTTTATACAGTATCTTTTTTTTTTTTTTTTAAAACAATAAATTCTTTTATTGACAAAAAAGTATGTGTAACATAAAGAAGTCAATAAATGAGGAAAGTTTCTGGGTATGGTTTTTCTTTGAGAGCTAACAGACATCTTACACGTTAATAATTCAATTAATTTGCAAACGTTATTTGATGCTATCCTAATATTCTGACCCAGTTGGACCACCGATAATAATCTGTGTTGCCTGTCATCACTAAATTGTGTTCCTCAGACAGAGAAATCAGACACATTTCTCTTCACATTTCATCTGATTTGTCCGTCAAAAAACTGTGATTTTCGTATCAGAATGTCTGGAATATGTGCAACTTGTGAAAAATAGGTCCAATATTTACCTTAGTCACTCTAAGGACAAACTAATTGGTCACAATCTGTGTTTATGTTCGCTGAAGCTTTCACGAGGCGTGGCAGTTGCAAAGCCAATGTGGCACATATACCTGAAAGTGGCTTTTTTCGAAACATATAGAATGAGAATATGAAATATAACAAAGAAACACACAACAGTTCAGATATGTATCATGATACAAAGCTTAAAGAAATCTGTAGGTTCCATTTTCTGCCTTTCTGTTTTTGTTTCTCCTAGAAAGAGATCTTTAAACAGAGATTCCTCCAGGGACAGAAACCAGATTGAAGTTGTGGTTGTGTCTTATTGGTCTCAGCAGGAGAGGGAGAATAAAGACAGAGAAGGGAGGATTTATTCAGTTCTTTGTTGTCAGAGTCCTTAAGAGTCTGCTTCCCTCAAGTGTTCAATAGAGGTGCCTCTGGTGTCAGAATGATAGGTTAGGCCAACAGAAACTGCCAATTTCGAGGAAATGGTTTTATATCCGAGCCTATGGATACAGTGTTTCTGAGAATGCATCATGTCAAATAAATGAGGATATTAAGCCCAACCTTGACCAGATCTCTGCAGTCCATTTTGGTTCTGTTGTGTTCCACGTGACACTATTTGGCCCAACAGCAAATGAGCGCAGGCACACGTCCAGTCACATTTTAGCCCAGAAAAAAGCAATTATTTTGGTAAAAGAGAGATTTACGTTTTGTGGTAGAATTTGGCTTCATCTCCTTTGGTTCCTGGAGCCTAAATCATTTCAGACAGGCACACGCAGGCTAAAAACACATGCACACACATACGAAACATTGCCAACGAATATTGAAACAGTTCTTTAGAGATTATTCACTATCACCGTTGGCTATTGCTAAATCAATTTTGCACAAATGTTGGCTTTGGTATTTATATTTTTTTCGTCCAGTGAAGAATGAAATGGTCTGTTATGGGTTGACATAATTCTGCTGCTTCTTAAACAAATGACTCTCAGCCCTTTTTAATGTATTAGATAACGCAAAAAAAAGCGTAATCAAAAAAATAATTTGACTGGAACATATAGGAGGAAATAAAAAAGCTACATATTGACCATGAGCAGGCCTTTCAATAATAAAATAACAGGAAGCTTTTGTGGCAATTGTAGGGCAGCTGTTATCGACAGATGGCGGGTGTAGAAGTGAAATATCTGAAGATGAGATGAAAAAAAGATTAGTGTCCCCGTGCTGCTCAGTCTTTGTATAATGCAGCAAAGTGTGGGAGTATCGGCCGCTGCTGTGATGAAGACAGGAAGTGACACGTCTTATGACCTCGCTCCCGTCCCACCACGCTCGAGCATTGCGTCGCTTTCTCCCCCGTTTAAACACACAAACACACACGGGGCTTCATATAGAGATTCTCAAGAGCACTTGGAGACCGAATGAGCCGACCTCACATACAGATACAATCCCATTAAAGAGCACTCCGGAGTCTTGATATAGGGGAAAGAGACACACACCCACACTCACACAAATAATGCAAATAGTGAATACCCACATTACTCAGAGATTATCAACACAGGGGGAAATGGAAAGCCAGGTCATGCATATCGCGATTACATTGCATACAGTACATTGATATGGTTACAAATAGTTTCCTCCCTGCTTTCTACTTGTGTCTGTTTTCATTCCCCCGATGCCCTCGTCACTCAGTTGCATTATACTCTACAGGAAAAGAGCTGTAAGACCAATTGGAACATTACTAGTTTCATTTAATCTCTAATGCTTTTTGGGTACAATTGTATCAAGTGAGTACAAATTGGCTACATACATGTTTGTGTAAATTGAGATCATAAAATAAGAATTGACCTCGATGTGGTGCAGTATATATAATATTAATAATGTTCTTACTGGTTTAAGACATATTACCAGTCAGCACCGACGTTTTCTCTCTGAACAAATACACCAAAACATCTTATTTGCGTATTTTTTAAAACTTTTTTTGTTGACATTTCCACTTATTCCTCAATGAATTAATTCAGTTTAGCAGCACGTTGTCAACCTAAAGTGGCAAATTCAAGATTTGCTCTGTATATCTAGAGAAGCGTACCCTAGAAATGAACTTATTATGGCTGTATAAATGTAGCTAAACATCACAAAATACAATCCAGAAGGAAATTGGTGTATCATAAGACTCTCTTAAGAAAAACAGGCCTCTTCAAGATGTGTTATAAACTTTACAGAATATAGGATTGAGACTAATTCTGTGTGGCGTTACAATAAACAGTAATATATCTTAACATTACCGTTGCTGCTTCAACACTTCAGCAACTATCCCTTTTTTATTACATTTTGGTGAAACTAAGGAAGAAGTCCTGTCGATGCAAGCTCCAGGCAGTGTGTGTGTGTAGTGTGTGTGAGTGTGTGTGTAGGTGCACGGGCAGCATTTGTTCGTTTTAAGAGCAGGTGTGATCTTACAAAGTGACACAGGGCAGAATCTCTTTTTCTTCATTTGTCTCTCATCTCCGCTTCCAACCTTTTGTTCCCTCAATCTCTTTTTTTTTCTTTTCTTTACTGTAGCTGTCAGGTTACATCTTCACCCACACAAACACACACACACACACCGACACACACCGACCTGCAAATCTATCACAATTAGAGAGCCAAAGACAAGTGGTGTCAAGATAAGCCATGTGTGAACTCTGTGACATTTCAAGGGAACAGAAATCCACAGAGACACAACAAATCGTGTAGTCAGTCCAAACATGTTGCTATACCAAACTCTTTCTCTATTCCTCACTATTAATTTGCACTCATTCCATTATTTCTTAATGGCCTGCACCATAATGACCCATTTTAATGAAACATCCAACATAAAATAATAGTTAATTTGTCCACCTGTTATAGTGCTTGTCTGCTCTGTCCAAGCCCCTGTCTCACATTGGCTGAATTAAGTGGCAAATGATTCCGAGTCAGGTTTAATGGAGTGGATACGAGTGACTCAGAGTGAATTTAACCCCAAAATCAGGACCACAGAGTTCTGCAGCCTGCTTGTACCGCACCAATCCAATTTGGGGCCTAATTGAATTGTTCTGAACCCCTCATCCATATATTTCTCCTCGAGAAGTGTATTACTCTTGATCTGTGTGTGGGTGTGATAGAGAGAAAGAGAAAGAGAGTGTACTGCCAAACCCTAAATGCTCTGTTGTTGATTGATGCTTCTGAGATTCAGTATGAATTGCTTTACTAATGCGAGACAACAATCCTAAATAAATCTCTTCTTCCCCTTATCCTTCTTCCCGTTTCTCCTTTCTCAGGATGATAAGTCGACCTTCTTCCAGTTCGGTGCCTCCATCCAGCAGGAGGCTCTGCTGATGCTGAACATCATGGAGGAGTACGACTGGCACATCTTCTCCATTGTGACCTCAAAGTTCCCCGGCTACCAGGAGTTCATCAACATCCTTAAAACGACTGTGGACAACAGGTACGATCGACCAACCCAGTCTCACGTCATTTCGTGTTATAGTCTCGAAATACATTTCATCTATTGATTCGTGTTCACCAACACGAATTTTGCATTTTTATCGTCTCACACAGAATGATTTTAAAAGCAATGTATTTCTATTGATATTATGTTTCGTCCCTGCAACACGTCTTTTTGTCCGGTCGGGTCTTGGTAGACCGGAAGCTGTGGGGTTCATAAAAACATGTTCTTACTTAATATCAAGCCACGATTATAGTTTTTATTTTTAATTGTATAATGTCTGACTTTTTCTTGCCGTCCGTGAGAAAAAGAAATGTGGCTCAGAGCCTCAGAATACTGAAATCCGTATTTTTTAAATCTTTTTTTCCTTCAAATTTGTTATTATTTGGTTCAGGCACGAAACATACTACGAATAGAAATACATTGCTTTTAAAATCGTTCTGTGTCAGAATACTGAAATCTGTATTTTTTTAAATCTTTTTTTCCTTCTAAATTTTTATTATTTACATTGTTTTTAAAATTGTTGTTGGTGAACACGAATCAATAGATGAATTTCGTGACTATAACACGAAATGCCATGAGACTGGGTTGGATCAACTACTCAACTGTTTGCACTCGTATCTACAGTTTCACTTTTATTTTAGGTCATATATCTGATGACTATTAAACTGGATAGCAGTAGCCAACATTAGGAACCAGGAAAACATAGTAACGCATGGAAATAATGAAATTGCGTTTCTAGCTGTGACAACTTCCCTAAAAACGCAAATATCAAGACAAATAAAAGACATGAGAAAGGACAACTGTAACTAAAGCTTTACAGCCATGTCAGCGTCTCTCTCAATCTATATTTAGACACATCAGTGCGTTGAGCTAATTGGTAATATCGGCATGCTAATATGCTCACAATGACAGTGCTAACATGTCAATGCTAAGCAGCTGTGACGTTTACCCTGTCTTCCATTAATTGTGTTTGTTAGCATGGTAACTTAGCTAATCGGCACCTAACACACAGTACAGTAGTACAGGAACAGCTTGGAAAGGTATGAAAATATAAAAAAATGTGATTAAGATATTTCACTCAAAATCTTCAACTTCATGATGGCTGTAGAGCAGTGTTTCTCAAACCTTTTCATATCAAGGACCACTTAACCGATTAAAAAAACACTCGCGGACCACCTAACTCCACAAATATCCAAAAACACATCGTTTTTCTGGAACAGATTACAAATCGCCTGAAAATGGTACAAACAAGTGGCAACATGTTTGACGAAGGTGTTGCGCTGGGCTATATCATGCAATCGAAAGTGAAACTTAAGCTCGCCCCATTGCGGAGATATTCCCGCGAGAGTGCGGAAAAACTTAAATGTATTTATTTATTTCCAATATGAAATGTTACCAATATACTCACGGACCACTAGGGGGCGATCACGGACCACCAGTTGTCCGCGGACCACACTTTGAGAAGCACTGCTGTAGAGGAAACATCTGGGGATTGATTCAGCCATAAAGAGACATCAACTGGGTACCATGAAGGTCTTTACTAAGTTGTGTGCCAAACCCTTATTGGAAAAGGCTATGACCTAGAGGTGGCACCAGACAAAAAGCCATTAGTTATTAGAATTCCTCATTCCTGCAATATGAAATCTTAGGACCAAATTGTTCTTGAGATATTTCGGTCTGAACCATCATGGTGGACCAACCAATAAAACGTAGCTAGCTAGCTAAAAGGGCTACAAATATATACTTCTATATTTCAAAGTAAGGGCAATGACTCTGAACTGTATGTCCTAGTGTATTGTACAGGGCTTAAAAGCATAAACTAACATTGTAGGAAAAACACATTATCTTACAGTGTATAAACAATTTCAAAATGATATTATTTTAAACAGCCTTGATAGAGGATTTATGAAGAACACAAACAATGTACCGTTTTCTCCACCTCATCTACCCTATCATTGTTCATTGCACAACACAAATGAATATAACAAGTTCTGTTTTCGAAAGAGTTTAAATATTCCTAGCACGGGCATTTCTCCGAATCCATTTCCACATTTTGTGTCTAATCTTCTGTATTATGCAAATGTCCCCAGAGAATGGTATTGTTTACTTTCTTGAAGAGTTACTGCACCAAGTGTCTTGTCCTTGTACTTTTAAAAGACAGACAGCACTGAAAGGATTTCATCAGCATTCTTAAAATGAATGTATGATGACAGGTAGGTTTACTACCCATGCAGTCTGGCTGTTTGCCGCACCTTTAGGTCATTTTGACTGATGCTCTACCCTCCGCAGAGAGAATGAGAAAAAACTGCTGAACAGAACCGCAAGCCATAATTTTTGGCACAAAATGTCAAATTAATGATCCATGCTCAGCAGTGTTGAGATGTTGGCAAGGGCTGGTGCCTGAACCCATGATATATTAAAGCCTAGCTGAGGAGGGTCTTTTTCATTAGCAGTTACTCTTCATGTCAAACCAAAAGCGTTCAGAAACTCTCTGCCTGTCTTTATTTGGTAACACTGGTTGCAATTGTTTTAATTACAAGTGGGAACAGATGGTTTCCTGGCTGATTAAATAAGATTATGAATTTCCCCCGCAAACAGGTGTTGCTATTAGAAAACTGGGAAGCTTCTAAAAATGTGTCACAATTAATCTTATTTTCCCAAATAGCAATCAGAACCTGTACCTGTTTTCTTCTTCCAGCAAGCCCATTGTTCAGGCTTCTATTGTCAATCAATATCCACTCCATAAAAATGCATTTAGGAGACTTTATGAAAGATGGCTCCAAAGATCTAAGCGTCCCAATGTCGATATTCGTCCCACCTCCTCAAGAGGTTGACCTCACTGTTGAAATAATGGCCGTCATTTATAAAACAAGAAATAATAAGCCCAATTACTTGCAATTACCCGTCGTCGATTTTCCCGTGTTAGCGTTGGGCTAGTTCACACTGACTTAGTCATGGGCAGACGGTTTTAATACCAATGAACTTCCATCATTTGCAACAGAAAATTGGACCAGTCAACTCAGTGATTCAAGGCTGACCCCACCATGGAAACAAATTAGTTCTTGCCAACGCTGAGATCAAATACAAGCCCAGATATATAACACGAGAGGAAGGGGAGTGTGTTTTGTGGAAGGCTACTTGTATAGACCATGTTGTTGAGATGAGTCCAGGCAGGTGGGTGGAGTTCCTGTCAGTATGATCTGCACATTAAACAGGAAAAAGCTAGATTGCTATGGTTGTTCGGGCATTGGACAGATTTTCATTTACGTCTAAAGATATGCATCGTCTGGAATACACATTCGCCTGTAACACCCAAGGTGATTGATCTGCAAGTAAAGGGTGTTCTTATCATTACAAATCATCATCAGCAACTGTATAATGAATTATTTAATTACGAAGATGAGTGTTCTCTTGGTAGGTGGTTGATTTAAGTGGGTAATCTCCCTGATTTCTATAAAGAATACCAAACTTTTAAATTTGTTTTACTTGTTATCACCCCTCTACTTGGTCTCACTCTATAGTGTTGTCATCTGGTAGTAGCAGACCATTATCACTCAGTGGACAGCAAGTCCCAAATCACTCGAATGTTACACTTCCGTCTATTGTTGCTTTCTTTGAAGGTGGTTAATATCTTCTCTCTTTTCTCTGTTGTCACACTGTTTTAACACTCCAGTATGTATCTGTGTGTGTGTGTGTAAGTGTGTCTTTGTCCCTCGTTCTGCCATCTCTCAAGTGTTATCAAGGGCCTGTTCTGCTGACACCAAAGTGGGCCAACACATGGGGATGTATTATTTTCTTTAATAACTAACAAAATTGCCATTTCCACTGTTTAGCCTTTCGCCCTGGGACCTACTTAATTTCATCTCTTTGGACTTTTTGAAAAAGAGCGTCCAGTCTTTCCATACAGTTTCACAAAAAAAGATACTCTAAAAATGCATTCATCACTTTAAAAGTGCTTGTTATTTCTAACTTTTGCTACAGCTAGATAAAATGAAAGTACAAAGATCCATTGTCCCCAACATTTGCTTTGACCGTTACACTCCAAGGAGGAAGTCTCTGTCAGAACATCTATAATCAGCCATATGGTTGAGAAGGCGTAATAAAATATTAATGAACCCATTTTTATGTCTAAGAGGTGTGACAGAAGCTGTGTTGATAACGGCAATATTTTTCTGATCACCGGTGTCCCCAATTAGCACGTTGACCACGGGGCCCTTTCACATTAAGAGCCAAGTGTTTGTTCTCCTTGTCCTTTAGTTGTCTGGGCTGGACCCTGCTGAGCGTCATTACACAGGACCAGCTTTAGCATTTGCATTCTCCATTTAGCCTTAATGCGTTTCCCCCCGACAATAAGCACTTCCCACTTATTAGCATTCAGATTGCACTTAACAATGATATTAATTATAATGGATAATTATAACTGCCCTTGCAAGCACCTGAGCAAAGTTAATAGTCTATTAGTTACATATTAACATTTCACTCCTGTCCTTGTTATCCTTTGCTTCAGCTTCGTGGGCTGGGACCTGCAGAATGTCATCGTCCTGGACGCGGTGGAGGAGGACAGCCGCTCTCAGATCATGCTGAAGAAGGTCCAGTCCCCCGTGGTGCTGCTCTACTGCTCCAAGGACGAGGCGGTGTACGTCCTGGAGGAGGCGCGCTCCCTGGGCCTCACCGGATTCGGATACATCTGGATTGTTCCGTCGCTCACCACCGGCAACCCGGATCTAACGCCCGAAGCGTTTCCGCCGGGGATCATCTCGGTGTCCTACGACGACTGGGACTACCCGTTGGAGGCGAGAGTTCGGGACGGTTTGGGCATCATCACGTCGGCAGCGGCGGCCATGTTGGAGGAGTATGGCGACATCCCAGAAGCGAAGACGTCCTGCTACGGGCCGATGGAGAAGACTTCTAAACTGCCACCCAGTGCGCTACATAAGTAAGTAAAGAACATGTTGTTTTGGCATGCCTATAACGGTTAGAAAATACGTTACTATGTGTCTTTTAGGAGAGGTGAAAATAGATATAGCAGAATTAGAAAGGATTTAATGAGGTTTGGTGTATTTTTATTACAAAGCGATATAGCACATGTGTTTGTTTTAATGCATGGCTTCCTGCCACAGTCTGTTTAGTTTTCACCCCTAGAGACTTCTTTCAAACTTTCCACCAAGTCTGCGTTGAGGTTTGAGATTGAAGGAAGACGCAATTACCGGATAAAAAAAACAAGGGGATTGAGAGTTCTAGCCGAGATGAAGTGTAGAAGTCAGGCGAGAAAGAGAGAGGGTAATGAAAGAGGTGAATGGGAGTTTGTGATGTAAGCAGAGAAGAAAAACGCAAAGGAAGAAATTGGGACTGTGGGTAACAGCGGGGAGCCGCTACAAATGAGTGCTCTCCAAAATTGAAGAGCTCCTTATGTTCCTCTCCTCATTTATTCCTCCATCTCCCATTCACTCTCTTGTGCTCTCCCTCTCATTATGAGCGCGCCCCACAGACAGTGGGAGATGTTGCAGGTCTTGCCAGCTCTGTCTGGCTTTCCATCTGGCAGAGGAGCGAGAGACACACACAAGCCTTGTTTACAATGTTGTTGTTTCTTTAATTATGAACTGTGAAATTAGGAATCTTGAGTCTATATGGCAAAATTCAATTCCAAAATCTGTCTCCAAAAATCTGAAATCTTGCAATGAAACCGTGCAATGACACAATCGGGAGCAGGAACACATTTAGATACACTTCTAAACATACAAATATGTTAAATATTTAATAGTCCTTGTTTTGGCAGACAATGTTCATCAATTTTATATTGGGAAATGATACAGTGGGAACTTGTAAATATATATTACATGTCTCGAAGATGAAGGATTGAAATGCGACCAATGTATACTTTATGATATGTTTATACCTGGCTGTATACTCAATAGTAAATTCCTCTAAGGTCAGGAATCAGGATACAACATTACATTTCGACTGGTCTGAAAACATTTCCGTTTAATTGGTCAGTAAATCAACCAGTAGGTCTCTGGGCTCATGTGGCTAAGGTTATACGTTGCATGGTTGCTCATTTGTCCATCTAATTTCCTGTCAAATACTCATTGGTATTCAATGTATTTTGGATCAATTCCCATTTAGGCTTTGTAGAAATCAAACCGAGTGGATTGTGCAACGTGAGTAGTTAAAAGGTGCTGGGAGATTAGAGCACTTTCTGCATAACAGGACAATGCTAATTGTAAAAATCTTGATTTTCAATAGAAACTGGAGTAACAGGGGAGTTCCTGTCATTGATCAGAGTCCTCTCTCATAAATAATGGTCATTATGTTCAAAGAGACAGTAAAGAATGCCTGATAAGCCCTTATCAACTTGACATACTGATTCCGCACTAATATAGCTCAGCTTTTTGTCAGGAAACAAAGACACACTAAGGAGAATTACCAAACATCCAGAGCTAGCTGACTTTGTTCCCAGCATGTTCTGCTGCCTCAGGTTGTTACCCAGGTGATGAGTGGCCACAGATGGCTCTGTTGTGGGTGAGAGAGCTCAGCCAATCGGGCTTCAGGGGCCAGGACACGAGGAACATCATTGGTCAATGCTAGGTCACGGCGATGGGCCAGCAGTGTGGGTTGTTAGAACATCAGACGCTTGTGGGGGGGTATAGGGGGACGTAGGCAGCGCGCGCACACACACACACACACACACACACACACACACACACACACACACACACACACACACACACACACACACACACACACACACACACACACACACACACACACACACACACAGTCACACAGAGGCGGGCAGATGGGATGTAGCAATGTACAGCATTGGTGGGACATATTGCCCATCAGTCATAAGGTTTGACACATGTCAACAATCATAAAGGTAAATGCAGCCACTAATTGATAGTACAAACCATTGTTGGACATTTCACATGCCGTTTGGTAAGGAATAATATAAATGGACGAAATAGCGATTTAATGCAACTTTTTCTCACATTAACTGCTTTTTTTGTGAACTACTGCAGATGTCAAAATCAGTATCATCTTCCAAGCATTAACTTTAAAATATATATTTCTTAGCTTGGATGTCTTTCAGATTATACTGTGACTCGTGACAACAGATTGATTTACATTGACATAAAACATGTTGCTGAGATGACAGAAAAGTCTGTCGTATAAAGTTCTGGGGACTGTAGTGTGAGCCCTCAGTGAACTTTTCCCTCACTCACTTTGTCCTCTGACAGCTGTAACGATGAATCCCCTTTGACACATCCAAGATGAATATGTTTTGCAGAGTAATCGAAAAAAATAAATAAAATAAAAACAGGAGACAAATGACCAACTAAGAGCGCTGGCCAGTGCAGCAATCAAACCGAGTGACAACCTACGCTCCGTTTAAGATATACCGTGTGTGTATGCGCGTGTGTCTTTGTGTGTGTGTGTCTTTGTGTGTGTGTGTTAGAAACAAGAGAAATAACTCCTCCCCCCACAAAGAGAATGTGTCATTGCAGATTTACAGCCCACCGCCCACCGCTCACCTTGCTGTGGTAAACAGACTTTAGCACTTATTTATCAGCGAGAGACAGTGTGTGTGTGTGTGTGTGTGTGTGTGTGTGTGTGTGTGTGTGTGTGTGTGTGTGTGTG